CAGGTCGTGCTCGGCAAACTCAAAGACCATGAAGATGCACTTATCCTCGAGGAGCGTCTCCACAAGCCGGATAACATTGATGTGCTTCAGCTCCGCGCACAGGCTCATCTCACGGATTGCGGATTGGGAGATGCCAGTGTAGCTAACCTGCTCACCCTCCTTATCCGGTTTGAACTTTTTGATGGCTACCTGCAGGATGCCCTTGTTGGGACCATCCTTGGCCGGGGTGGCGAGGGCATCTTGGCCAGCCGAGACAAGCGTGCGGGCGGTGGCCTTGTACACGCGACCATACGTTCCACTGCTAATGAAGCCGACGATACGGTACCGTTCCGTCACGCGTGTCTTGGGCTGGTATCCGATACCGCCCCGATCATGGGGATCTGCGAAGCGGTGGTGAGTTGACGGCGAGACGGTATATGGATAAAAGGGGCCGCCTGGGCGGTGGCGTAAGCTCATGATCCTTCACTCCTGCTCGCACTGCAATCTCTTGATAGAGCCCAACGTCATAGCAACATGGATTCGATGGAGAAAATCAGCGAGGTGGGAGGTTGAAGGCAAGAGGCAAAGGGAAGCAGATGAGGCGAGGTTGTGGTGGAGAGGTGTGAGGTCGGGATTAACTTGACCCAACTCCGGGACGTGCGGTACAATTACCCAGAAGGGGAGGAAAGGTGCTGGGACGGCCTAAAAGCGGTAGCGCAACCGATCTGGCCTCTGGCCTGGCCCAGCCTCGGCGAACCGAACCCCAATCCAACTGAGAATGCCTTGGCCAGCGAGCGCATGGGGTAGGGTAGGGGAGGGGAGGGTAGGGGGATGGAGAGGTATGCGGGAGGAGAGAAAGTCCAGTGTCATATGAGACACCTCCAGGGCATTGGGGGAACAGAAGAAGAATATGCACATACCCTCCAAGGCAGCCTGCAAGCTCCTCTTCAGCGCCTGGCTTCTATTACTCGTGCTACCAGCTCCAGGCCCATGAATGCTGCCGGAACCTGGCCCCGACGCCCCGGTCGGCGGATTGGTCAGGCTCATCCACACAAAACACTGCACTAACTCCCGGAACGCGACTCAGTAAATAGCTGATCAGTTGATAGTGGGTGTCAACCGTCAACCCGACGCCCTAGCAGGCTGAGCTGTATGCGCTGCGCGTGGCCGGAGGCGTTGCTGCTACGTGTTAGCCTCTGCTGGCACCGCACAACCCTCTTCCGAGAGCAGGAGGTGGACCGGAAGCAGGCTAGCAGGCGGGTAAGGCGAATCGCGAACCGACAGCCAGCTGCGACAGGCAAAACAAAACATCAACCCCGGGGCATGCGCGCGCGCTGAAGGGATCCGGATCGTGGCTCGTCTCTCGCGTTCCCTCTCCCTCTCACTCCTCTCTCCCTGGTTTAGCTATCGGCTCTGCAGCTAGGGGTGGGAGCGGCAGCGACAAGACCTCGGTGCTCCTCCGCTCGCAACCCTCACACTGTCCCTCCTCCCTCACTTGCTCACGCGCGCGGGGGCGAAGTCGATGCTGTAGATACTATGCACGCAGTGGAAATGGTATTATCCGCGGGCCCAAGCTGGCGGTGGGGTCAAATTGGAGATCCGAGAGGGGGGGCTACCTAGGCTCGGCTGTACAAGTGGTAATTTAGGTAGATTGGGAATTGATCGCTTGGAGGGGGGATTGAGCCGTCTCCGTTTTTCGGGTTGCGCTCGGGGCTCCAGCATGGGCAAAAGCAGGATTAGAGCGCGCGACGATGCAGCATCTGAGTTGCCAACGGGAGGTTTGCATGCGACGGCGCGAAATGGCCTGGACGCAATGCAGGGTGAAGGGAAGGTTCAATTGCACGTCGCGCCGCACATGTGCCTCAGATTTCAGGACCACACTCCATTTGCTCGCCTATCAACCAGCTAATCCAGTTAATACGGAGCGCTGCGACTGTGATTGCGCTAAAGCCTTGCATGCCTGATGATGTCCCCAGCCACTTGCGGCTGAGCCACACACGCATCAACATGCCACACACTGCTGTCGGCCAGGCCGCACCAGAGCTGAATACGATGTTTCACGCATCATGTACGCAGCCAGCTTTGAATTTCAGACCCTGGCCGCCTCGGAGAAACAGTGAAATGAGACCGATCTGCAGGCTTTGCTTTTGTCTTGTTCTTAGCTAGAAAATAGATAACGCAGTCATCATCACTGCAGCCCTCCCTGACCCCCTTTCTAACCCTTCTGCTGCTCTCACGCCCCTCCCACACTCTCGCTCGCAATCGTGCTGTGTAATGTCACAAGTCTAACCGCTCTACCTAGGTCCAAGCTTCTCCAGGACTCTCGGGCCTTGCTCCTCCCACTCAGCCTTGGTCACCCACATGCTCTCCTTGTCTGCCATGATGTTGGCCAGCACCGCACCACCCAGGAACACCATGTGCCTTCTCCTGGGGGGATCTTCGATTCGGACCTTGAACTTGCTGAGACGCTCGGGATTGCCCTGCAGCGCCCGCGTGAGCCACAGCTGCTTCAACTCCTTCTCCAGACGGGATGGCAGTCCGGGGTACATGCTGCTACCACCGGAAAGCACAATGGCCTTGAAGAGAGACGAGCGAATGTCCACATCAGCCGACTGGATCGTGTTGAAGAGGAACTCGCCCAGGCCGGGTGAATCGCTGTCGACGAGGTGAGGCTGGAAGAGACACTCGGGCGCCTCGAAGCGCTCACTACCCACGCGAATAACTCGACCGTCCGGTAGGGTGTAGTCCTCGACGAGTACTGTGGTGTCCTCGCTGAGACGCTTGTCGAGCTCAAGATCGTATGACACGTAGCATAGCTTCTCCTTGATTTGCCGCACTGTCTCGAAGTCTGCTGTTCGGTTCAGGGCATATCCGCGGCGTAGTAGGAGCTTGATGAGGTTGCGAGTGACGTCACGGCCGGCGACGTCGAGACGCTTTGTGAGATGGTTTAGCACGACGGATTCGTACACGGGGACAATGTGGGTGACACCATCGCCAGAGTCGACGACGACACCAGAGCTCAGACCTGGGGGTCAGACTTCAGTCAGCATAGCTCCGCTTGATCAACCTCGCAATCCCCCCTGTCCCATTCCCCCATCCATGAAGGAATAGCTCTGGAACGAAACCCACCTTGTGCGTAAAGTGCCAAAACGGCCTGGATGGCGACGTAGACGCCCCCGAAACCGTACCGATCGAACATAACCTCGCACATCTGCTCGCGGTTCTTCAATGGGTTCATGGGGGGCTCGGTCAGCAAGATCTTCTGGCCTTCGGTATTGATTTTCAATTTCTCGTAAAACGTGTAGTCCCAGAGGTGCTGAATGTCGTCCCACTTCTTGACAATGCCGTTTTCCATGGGGTAGCTGATCTGGAGCATGTTGCGGGCGGCGGCGGCCTCGTCACCGCACATGATGTCCTTGATGACAACATCGCTGTTCGACTTCTCTTCTGAACGCAGGATCGGCCGGCCGACGATGGAGGGGAACTGGTGCTCGGGGAAGTTCTGGGCTGCGTAGCCGACCTTGAGGAAGCCGGTACCGCCGTCGAGGACTGTTTGATAATGACGATGTCTCGTATTAGCTCAGCTCGCTCCGGGGTAGCTCCCACTCTATGGGAGACGTTCGGGATTGTTCCGACATACCAATGGGGGGAGGATTGGCCATATTGGCGAAGAAAACGGACGGGAGGTGGGCGGGCTTGAGATGTGGCTGCGGGAGTGATCCTCGCTGCTTGGTGTTGAGGAGGGAGACGGGTCAGTACAGCGTGGCTGGGTGCCTACCAACGTTGCGGTATGGTTGCGTGGATGGAGCAGTGCATGGTGGGGTTCGTTCATACGCCTGTCGTCAGAGCATGAGCTCCCACCGGGGCCAATCACGTGATACCCCGCGCCGTCTCCAACTGCCGACATCGTTATCTTTTGAGATATATACCTACGGGTCGGTATGTGTCGATGCTATTATTCTAGATATCGCTTCTTATCTAGATGTTTCACAAGGTTTCCATTGGTTTGTATTATATACCTAATAGAAAGGAGGGAGAGGTAGAACCCACACCAAACTGAACTCTAAGATATTCTTGCTTCCGACTTTCTCTTCCATGACTCATCTCTCCTCAATCACATCACCTTGAGAACTACTCATAAGCAGCCATGCGTATCCTCATATTGAATCCGAACTCGTCGCAGGACATGACGCGGGGAATGCTTGCGGCGACAGACGCGCTCAAGCTGGGAGATGTACGATGCTGGCCCAGCACCACTCTTCCCCTCTCTCTAAACTACTAACCGGCAGCCTCAAACAGTCCATAAAGATTAGCACCTACACAGCTCCAAGTGCCTCCCCAGCAAGTATCAACGACGACACAGACATCAAAGCCAGCGAAGAGGCCGTCTGCCAGGACATCGCCAACAAATCTCTCTCCCTAGACCAATATGATGCTGTCCTCGTCGCCTGCTTCAGCGTCCACACCTTGGTCCCCCGCCTCCCCACCCTCACCTCAACATCCGTCACCGGCATCTTCGAGGCGAGCATCCTAACCGCGCAGCTCCTCCTCCAGCCCTACACCGACCAGAAATGGGGCATCGTGACCACCGGCAAGTTCTGGGAGGAGCACCTCGGCGCCGGCGTGAGGTCCTTCTTCGGCCAGGCGCGGGACGCGAGCCAGGGCAACTTCGCGGGCGTGTTTTCCACCGGCCTCACCGCCGGCGACTTCCACCACGTCCCGCAGGAGGAGGTCGACGCCAAGCTCAGGGAGGCCACGGCCAAGCTGCTCAGGTCAGGCGACGTGCGCTGCGTGGTCATGGGCTGCGGGGGGATGGCGGGCCTGGAGCGCGTGATCCGCTCGACGGCCGCGGAGCTCCTCGGGGAGGACTTCGCCAGGGGCCTCTACGTGGTGGACGGTGTCAGGGCGGGTGTCCTACAACTGGAGCAGCTGGTCCGTAGCAAGCAGGTATTTGTGTAATGTAGCCAGAAGAAAAAATATATCTTGATCTATCGAGAAATAACAAGTGACATGCCCATGAATCACTCCAAGCGACGCTCTCGACCCCACACCTCATCCGCATCCTTCTTGCCCTTTGTCTCTGGAACCCGCGAAAGCACGAAGAGGCTGCAGCCAGCAGCCAAGGCGGCGAAGACGAAGTAGACCCAGCCCTGCCCGCCGAAAGCGTTGTTGAGCGCTGTGTTGAGGATGGGGAAGAACTGGGCGACGATGAACGTGGCGACGTAGTTGGCTCCCAACGCCCAGCTCTGCGTGGCGCCCACAGCTTCCTGCCCAACAAGCTCGGAAGCAAGGATGAAAGGTACGGGCCCTAGACCAACCGCGAAGAAACCGACAAAGAATAGGACGGCGAATGCAGAGAGAACCTTGGCGCCGAATACGATGGAGAGGGCGAGAGCGAGAGAGCTAGAGCCCTGGCCGATGATGGAGATGAGCAGACACGTCTTGCGTCCCAGTCTATCAGGTAGGGGCGAGCAAGCAACTGTGGTGAGGAGGTTGACCACCGAAATCAGGATGGTCAGGAGGGCCGAGGAGACGGGAAGAAGGTCGGCGAGGAGTGAGACAGAGTACATGATGATCGAGTTGATACCGCAGAGCTGCTGGGTGAACATGACACCAACCACGGCGATAATGGCCGGGCGGGTGTTGGGATCTCGAAGAACATCGGCGAAACCATGGTGGACGGTCGAAGCTATCACCACCCTGGATGGCTCTGCGGGAGCATCCTCTTGAGCGAGGAGCCGGGCCTCTTCGTTGGCACTGTCTTCCTCTCCTTCCTGGCCCCAGCCCGCCACCTCCTCTTGAATGTTGACGCCTTTGCCTCGGATCCTTTGCAGGGTTCGCCCGGCCTCCGTGACTTTCCCATTCGCAGCCAACCACGACGGGCTCTCCGTGAGGAACACAGATCCCAGGGCCTGAATTGCACCGATGCAGATACCGGTGGCCAGAATCAACCTCCACCTATTACCGTAGCTCAAGAAGTAACCAAGCGTCTGGGTGATGAGAATTCCGACGTTGATAGACACCTGGGTCATGGCGCCAAACAAACCACGCTCCTTTGGCGGGGCCACCTCGCTGATGTATAATGGAACGATGACGGTCGAGGCTCCAGCAGCAATACCGGAAAGGAACCGACCGACACACATGAATAGGACGCTCCCGGACAGGGTCTCGATCAGCGAGCCGACCGTATAGAGCATGGCGGTGATGCGCATCGCGGGGAGTCGACCTCGGCGGGAGGAGAAGGGCCCAGCGCAGAGGGCACCCAGGAGGGCACCGAGCGTGAAGATGGCCGTGATAGTCGCGAAGGCGGCATCGTCCATCGGGATACAATCGGGGAGACTCGTTGAGCGGGTTGTTGGCTGTCCTCGCAAGGTCGCTACGACTCGAGACACCACATTTGGGGTCGACGTTTCGTGACAGGTAATGACATTTTGGGGGGCGTTCAGCTCGGCCTAGAAAGAGCAAGGCAATTGGTTAGATTTCTGAAGCAACTTCTTGGACCGAGAGCGTTGAGGTGGCCGCGGATTGGATGCGTGATGCTTCTGGGAGGACTTACCAAGTGGTAGCCAAACTGCAGCGAGCCGCTTGTAGCAATGATGATGAGGAGAATCAGGTAGGTGGTGATATCCTGGAGATACTGCCCCAAGCCCTGGTCGGCCATCTTGGATCGTCTCGCTCCGCAACGAAAAGATTTGGTGCTTGGTAGGTTGAGGGGAGAGCTGTGAAGAAGGTCACACGGAAGGATATGGGTCCGCCCGGTTTAAGTACTACAGGCACTAATTCACATGACTATATGTGTGACCATCCGGCAATATAGAGTTACTCGAGAATTCCAGGCGGTTATACCTTGACGGCAGCAATCCTCCGTTTCATGAGGGGTAAAAAGAAATACGTTTATAGTGATCTCGAATGATGCTGTTGCGCGTAAGTCCAGTCTAGTTCACCTGGTCATCTGGTATGGAGGTTTGAGCAGTGAAGCAATTTAGTGCTATCGGGGCCTGTAGCCCGCTATTGCTAGGTAACACTCAGATCCTCCAGAATCCTGCGGCCAGGCCGGGCAGCATCCTGCTCATGCGACGGCTCCCTCTCCTTCTCATTGATTCCCGCCTGCACCCATTCCTGCACCGATGGATGCTCGAACAGCCGCTCGACATATTCACCGGCAGGCCCAGAGAACGTGATGCCAAAAGTCTTGAACCTGCAAGCCACCGGCGCGTAAAAGGCATCCACCGCCGTGAACTCAGCACCCGCAAGCCACGGGCCGCCGAACCTGGTGAGTCCCTCTGTGAAGAGAGTCTCGAGCCGTGCCAGATCGCGTTTCAGCCCGTCGCTGTGTTCCGTCAGCTCGATGCGCAAGCCCACGTTCATGGAACACTCGTCCCGGAGGGCCTCGAAGGACGAGTGCATCTCTGCGGCCGCACAACGAGCGAATGCACGGGCCGCCGGGTCGCTGGGCCAGACTCCCGCGTGCTTCTCGGCGATGTACTCGACGATGGCCAGCGAGTCCCAGATGTAGAGCTTGTCGTGGGCCGAGTCGTGGAGGCACGGGACCTTGCCGGAGGGCGAGAAGGCAAGGAAGTCGGGCTGACGGTAGCCCGGCTTGAACATGAAGAGAGCTTCTTCGAAGGGAATGTCGAGCACCTTGAAGACGAGCCACGGTCGCATCGACCACGACGAGTAGCGCTTGTTGGCGATGTGGAGCTTGTAAGTCATCTTGAATTCTGGATGAGAGGTCTCTAAAGATTTGAATATCTTGAGTTCCGATGAAAACTTTGGTACGGATATCTGGATTCCCGGACTGGACTCCCTTCTCGTGTGGAGTTGATGGGTCAATCGGTTTCCAAGAGTACACAGAGCAGTTTCTTTTGGAGACTGATGCAAGAACCAGTCGAACGAGACATAATTCTCAGCACTACGTCTTATACTTCTACAATACGCCCTGCGTGTATTCAACACCTCACGCCGCACAGCAGTCATCTGCTTCACCGGTTCCGGCTTCATTACGCTTTGTCACTAAGGGCGTCGATGACTCGAGCGGGGTAGATGAACCCACGAGCCTGATGAACCAATTATCACGATCTGCGTATCTCGTATAAACTTGGGTACTTTTGTGTGTCCTGGCTATCCAATGCTCATATCCATCAATGAGACAAATGATTCTCTAAGCCCCCTGGCTTTCCCTTTTTCACTCTCATGACAATTTCTAAGTGTTTTCTCGTCAGTGCCGTCTTGTCCCGTAGAGCTAGCAGCCGCGCCGTCTTGACCACATTCTTGATCTCGCGCCCATTGAACTCCTGTTCCGCAAGCGAGTCCAGCTCCTCCTCGGCAATGTCGATCTTGTCGGACGCAGCCGGCAGGAACGTTCGCCAGATGTGCCGTCGGCTCGCCGCGTCGAGTGCAGGGTAGTGCAAGGTCAGATCGATGCGGGACTCAAACGCGGGGTCAAACGAGTCAAGGCGGTTCGTCGTGAGGAACATGACGCCCTGGTAGTACTCGAGCAGGCGGAGGAAGACCGAGACGAGCTGGTTGCGGTGGAGGTCCGACTGGGTGCGGTTCTCGAGGAAGACGTCGCACTCGTCGATGAGGAGCACCGCCTTCCACCTTTGCGACAGCTCGAGGACGCGATTGAGGTTCCGCTCGACTGATTCGGCCGTGAGGCCCAGCTCGCCAGCGCTGAGGCTGTATAGAGGTTTGTGCATCGCCTCGGCCACTAGAGAGGTTAGTGATCGTCCATGTTGGAATTGTGCTTGTGAGTCTATTCAAAGGAGCATGTGTACCTGATTCGGACGTGAGCGTTTTGCCGGTGCCTGGCTCTCCGCTCAATAACATAATTATTCCCTTTCCTAGGTTGCGAGTTAGTCAAAAGGCTCAATAGTGTGTGGGTGGTGGATGGCCTTGCCTTTTCCCTCAATGATATCATCAAAGTCGTCGTCGGTTTGGGACATTTGCGCGTCTACAAACGCCCAGATGATCGACTTGTAGTCATAAGGGAGGACGAGTTGACCAAACGCTGTATCATTCCAGGCAATATCTGTCAACTTGTCGACTTGGAACAGAGCTAGTGAAGTGTCAATGCCACACGAGCGAGAGGATTGCTAGGGAGATAATCTGATCGGTGCCTACCCCAGCTTTTGGTCTTGAAGCAATACCCTTTGACGAGAGGCGTACACAATGCATGTTGATCGGGGTAGAGAACTGTAGAGTCTGTATGTACATGGTTAGTATGCTATCTCTGCGTGATCGAGTCGCTACTGGGTGTAGGTATTGTTATGGAAGGGGAATGGCTACTTACTCTTGTTCTTGTGGTTCCTTTCGGTGAACCGCTTCTTGGCCAGCTTTGCCTTTTCTTTTACCTTCAAGAGGGGCTCAGGCATGCGTAGATCCGTACCATCTTCGACACCGAATGCCGCCTCCGCTAATTCAGATGGTCTTGAGAGCGGCAGCAGCTCCGACCTTGAAGGTACCGCTGAATTAGGGTTGCTATCAATCATGACCCTTCCACGTTCCATCTACATGTTGAGTTAGTAAGAGCTTTCCACTCACGCCAGACGATGCTCGAGGTTTCGACTTACATGCTGTCTCTCGGGGACCCCGGAAGGCGGGCTGAGCAGCCTGTATGGCCCAGAATACGCCTTATAGTGGCATCCCCTCAGCATCTCAAACTTTCTCCCTCGCTCTTGAAGCATGGCGCGCACAGTAGATATGTCTGAATAGATGTGGCTGGGGAGAATGTCGAGCTCCTCAATGGGTTTGATGCCCTCAAAGCCCTGCATCTCCAACGTCCGTGTCCTGTCACCAAATTTGTCGCCATCCGTGTCGATGTATCGGCAAGAGATCTCGTACGTAGTTTGATCTCGAGCCTCTTTATATTCACCGCGATCCACTAACCACAGCCGGTCCACAGACTCGTGCCTTGACAGGACCTCTATCCCCGGCTCAAACAGTGTCCAGAGGTAGTCGAACGTCATGACATTGTTCTTCAGCAAGTCGGCCGCCTGATCAAAATGGGGCGACAGCTCCGAGTAAATAATCCCAAACAGGATATCATAGTGCTCTCGTGGTGTTTTGTCATCGTCGCTTCCCTGCGCCGGTCGCGCTTGGACAAACTCGGCCCACTGGTGGAAGAACTCGAGGAAGGGCGCGGTGAACTGCAAGTTTTTGAGGTTCGTGTTGACGCTCTTGTAGTCCTTGAAGACGGGATGGAGAACGGCCTTCAGGTAAGGGCTCTGCACGTCGATGGAATGCAGCGCCAGGACTGGCTCCCCATACTCGCCGTCTCGCTTCTCGCGGCGGACCACCAGAGCGTATTTGTCAATGTCAGAAGCTGATTGAGACACGATGCCGGCAATCTCCTCGGGCGACCACTCTTGCCACGGCTGGAGGGACTTTTCCGTCCGGTAGAGGTCTTTTGTCGCAGAGACTACACCATGCTCAGGCCTGACAGAGGCCGTTGCGCCGCCGACATGTGATGGAGGTTGGGAGTTGATGCCTCGAGGCACTCTTGGGAAGCCATCGGGCTGCGTAGAGGAGGCCTTGGTTTTCCGTCGTCGCTCCTTGATGTTTTCCATTTCTGGATCTCCTCACGACAGCACGTGGTCTGTTGTTGATTGTACCTGTTTTGCCAGGCGACTACCTCGACCAGCCGCGCGGGATGACGACTGACATACAGCTTGTGCGGCGCACCCAAACCACGTTGAATTTTGGCAGCGAGGGTCCAGGATGGCGAATAGCTGCAGATATGTGACCAGATACTGGAATCTACGGCTAGGACTCGGTTTGCGATGATGACAGATATCAGCCAACAGGCGGATGGATGGCTTGTTGGTCGTGCTGAAGTCCTTGAGGACTGGAACTGCCCCACGCAGAACTCCACCCAGATCAGCCAACCTCACCTCATCATCATCACCACCATCAACATCGTCATCATCGTGGCAGCAGCAATCAACTACATCGACACGATACGGCTATCATCTACAGGTCTATTCTAGCTAGACTGACTATTGAGATTTATTGCCCGGCCTTGTCAAGGATGTCGAGAAAGTCGCCATCAATCTCACCCTCAAGCGTCTCCCATCTCCAGTATCACCACTCGTGTTCATGAATGGCCCTGCCCGGATCTATGCCCATGAGATGGGTTCTCTGGAGGGATCTTTGACCACAAGTGGCACGCGAGCGATGAGCGTTAATGGACCGCTGGGTTTAGGTATCCGCGTTGGAGGATAGCCCAACGAAGCTCCATCCCACTGTCCAGGACAAGACAGCTACCCGAGCATTTTGTCTTGAAAAGCGGCATTACGCAGAAACGCTATGCGGGAGCTGCCGCCTCACATGAGGAGCGACCGTCAAGCCGCGTCTTGCCTCATCGATGTGGGCGGTGTCACGCCGGCCAAGGAGATCCATCATGTGCCGCCGTGTACCGCCGAGAGGACTGGACTCTGTAGTTGGCAACGCCACTCCTGCTGTGCTCTGGCCGTCGTCAAAAATACAGGCTCTTATTGGAGTGACCGATGGCGATGGCGCCCCTCGTTATCTAGCGTCTATGCACGGCAAGCAGTTTTCTGAATAGCGCCCGAGCCACGCCCGAAGAGACGAGCTTTGTGATACCCCGATGGCCCGAACCACGGATGCGAGCAGGCCAAGACGTATCAGGATTCCGTACCTCCGAGCGTTGGGCTCTCCATCTAGAGCGACCCCCCTTCCTCTGGAAGTAGGCCTGGGCCTGGAGCGATATCGAAGGGGGGATTACGTTGTAGTTACGGGGGCAATTGGTTTTCACGTAGGACCAAATGGTTCAAAAGAAGGAAGAAAAGATTGATTCCTTAGCGATGGCAGGTAAGGAGCGACGTCGCGAACGTAGCCTAACAAAATGAGTGTGCAGGGCATCGCAAATGCCAGATGCCAACATAGAAACTGCCCAAGCAACATCGCCACTGCCAGTGTAACCCGGATAGCGGCCGAGGCCCTCTCACAATTGTAAGCATGGGCTCTAATTCTCCACGCTTTTGGCGTCTGTGTCCTGGAGTGTTGCAGCCGCTGATGCAAATCCTTGATCTTCACCGCCATTGATCGCGAGCTCGACTGGGTCTGGGCCTTGTGCTTCCACATTGAACTTATTACCAAAGCTTAGAACTGCTTTCCAATGCTCATCGGACTCCATGCGGGTAAAAGTCTTGCCAAAAATGGCAAACGATGGCTGGGAGATGAAATCAACCTTTTGGGTTATAGAGTTGGCTGCTTTGCTGGGGCTATAGAAGCGACCATGTGTGGCGATGTCCTTGTAATCGTAGGCAAAATCTTTGATCACACCCGTATTGGGTACCTTCATCTCCAGCTTGAGCCAAAGGGTCGAGTAGATCATCAAAAGATCTAGTTCAATGGCGAAGTGAACTAGTTCATACAGATTCTCATCTAGCTTTTTGGGAAATGGCTGGCGAGGATCCGAGATGAGAGGCCCAAGGCGCTCGACCAGGATATCCTTGAGCCGGGAAGGCTCCGTGTGCCATCTTCGTCCCGTGACATGGAGGATCATTTCTGCTGACATCGAGCGCCAATTGTGAAAGCAGATATTGAAGAAGCTGTCCATACCGTCTTCGCTGTCGGGGCCGTCGAGATGACCTGGTCACTGATCAGCTATTTCACCGGTGCAGGGGGTCAAGGGAATGGGGATGCATGATGCCGTACCTCCCAAGGAGCATTGCAGCTGGCCGTATGACTTCCACATTTCGCACGACCACTTGTCCTGGCATTCAGGCGAGAAAAGATGGTCGTAGAGAAGCCGAAAGATCCATGCCTCAAAGAAGAGATTTGACCTCAATCTTTCGCTTGACTCCATCCACTCCTGGGCATGAGACGCCCAAACCTCGATTTCTGCTTGATTCTCTTTGGAGAGATCCTTCCACAAATACGAGGGTGGAAAGTTGTCGTGTGCAAACTTAGCTATACTTGCTCTCAAATCGAACCAAGGCCCGTGGTAAATAGTATCTGGACGGTGAAGCCGCAGATGCCATTCATCATACACTCTCGCCCGGAATTTTTCGTCGGGGATGGGCCACTCGGACGTTGTACCAGATTCAGAATCCTCCTGACCTACTTTCGCCTGGCCTGCTTCCTGGCCTGCATGTTCCTCACTGTAGACACCGCTGCTCTCAGCGCCATCAGGTTCTCTGGCTCCAACCTTGGCAGACGAGTCACAGGGGCGCTTGGGGCTGGGGGACCTTGTCCTAGAATCGCGTGGGACTTCGCGTTTCATTCCCGCCCTCTGCTGATCGAAGGAAGACGCTGTGCCCTCGGGGTGCTGCATTCTCGACGACATCATGATGAGGTTTGGGACGGGCGGGAAGCACTACTGGCGGCAGGGGCGGATATGCAGTTATATCAGGTATTGAATTGTGCGATCTGAAATGATGGCTGGCGGCATATACCATTGCTGTGTTGTCCATGCCAAGGAGGCAAATGCCTCTTCATCGGTTTGTCATGGAAGCGAAGAGAACAAAACACGCACCGCGTTTCTGTGTCTGTGACGGGGCGGCGGGGAAACGCATGTCTCTCTCTTTGTCGTCGTCGACTGACTCGTGGAGTATGACAAAGAGTACATGTAAGTAGTTGATATCTGCCCGTGCGCCACACGCATGCTGCCTCCCTGATCCTGGCCCTCATGCGTATGACCACGGGCCAGTTGTCTCAAGCGCTCCCCTGCGTCCATTCTCAAGCAACTTTTGTCTGCTAATGATCTGGTAGAGTTCAACGTGGCTCATATGGGTGTGGGTGGTAGTTCAAAGCTGGCAGCCGCAGACGAGAGGCTGCCTTGCGTGCCGCCACCGAATGTGATACGGTCATACGGAGCTCAGTGTAGCCGGCATGAGAAGAATTTCGTCTTACTCTCCAAAGCCAAAGAAAAGAGAGATTGTCTGACCCTTGAACGTTGAGGGAGCAGTATATTATTCTTTGGACAACCCAGGTTGTTGAAGTAAACAGACAACCACACTCAATCGCTTCCCCAAACCGGATCCATTTCTTGCTACTATTCTTTCACTTCATACAAACTTGCTGTTTAATTTGTGTGACAGCCCATTCAGTGTCTGTACAATTGTTCCCCCGTCAGTGCACTTTGAGTCCATGATGACCCCAACTCTGTGCGCATGTGCCCGGAGGGTCCTCTTTGTCGGCCTTGATTTCGGCACCACGCGAGTATTCCCTTAAGGTTTCCCTTCAATCTGGCGTGCCTGACCATTCATTCTGCAGATATTCGGGAGCCGCATGTGTCATCGCCTGGTACTGCAAGGATCATCGATGTTTCGTCGAAATTGGTTCAACTGAGGTCGAAAAGTTTAGGACACGCCTAAATGTCTCGAGCTAAGGTGAACTGCGCTTTGTGTCTGACGACAAGGATTCTAGAGAGGGAGAAACCCCTCTCTATTTGTTCAAGTTGGACTTCATGCCACATGAACCTTGGACCTCAAACCGTGAAGATGCAGCCGTGGCCCAGATAGTCAATAGGAGATGGAGAAATCGAGTCTCAAATCCGGATGACGTCCTGCCAGCCTCCATTTACCTAAAGGGTATGTTCGAGCATACAATCAAGAAGCTGGATAAATGGATCAGGAGGCGCGACGCAACGGAAGTCAGAGTCGTTGTGCTCGCCTCGCCAACTTGCTGGAACACTGAGACCAAGGCGCGTTTACAAAGAGCCGTCCACTTGTCTGGTATCCGCACCCACCAAATTATTGGCGACCGAACTCTTGAGACTCGCATTGTGTCTGATCACGACCATATGGCCGCGTTGAGGTGTATTACAAAGCAACAGAGACCGCTGGTCGTCCACCAACTGTCTGTACCTGATTGACTTTAGGAAGCATTAGGCTGTTCTAACAAACAACAGGAAGTACCTGAGGCCGAAAAATTGATCGTTGTTGATGTTGGAGGGGTGACTATAGTGAGCTCATTGTTCCTCGGTTCCTAAGTTAACTATACGGGGATAATGACAATACCAGGATGCAGTGGTATATCGATTTGCACCAGGCAACCTACCATCCAAGTCTCGCTTGGGAGGCTCCCTCCTCGTTGATTGCCATTTCCTTGATTTCCTAGATGATTGGATTCAAAAGAATTACGACCTGAGAGGACCAGAGCAGGCCCAAGATCTCATGCAAGAGCGAGCGAAGGTAGTGTCAGCGTGGGAAAAGCGCGATAAGTTGAACTATCTACCTCACTTGCCGGGTCCACCACTGGAGGTGAAGCTCCTTGAGAAAACATTGACAATCGGACGGTATATTCCTTCAACCTTGATCCCAGCTGATGGAATACGTATTAATAAGTTTCTGCTCGCTTTCAGAGAAGAGTTCAAGGGTTTTTTCAAAGACACTGTAGAGATCATCGCCAAGGTTGTCGATGACCTGTTCGAGGAAGAGATCAAGCAGACCGGTGTTGCTCCGAAGGTAAGCCCCCTTCATCCGTTTTGCATCCAACTTGATTACCATATGCTGACTGCGTTGGCTTGTCCAAGTCCGTGGTTTTGACTGGGGGTTTATCCCACTGCGCATGGCTCTTCGTGGCGGTAGATCTACTTCTCAAAGAGTCGCCACGAAACCTTCATTTGCAACATGCAGGTGTAAAGTCCCGGTGAGTCCAAAATTAATCGTACTGGTTTGGCGTTGGCCGTGTCTAACTGGTGTAGCTGGAATGCTGTTGCGATCGGGCGGCGTACACGTTCTGGACTTGGGGCCTGCCAGCCACAGAACCCTAAGGAGAAGCGCCAGGCGATGAGGGACATTGATTGAAGCCTTGGTCACATGGCTTGACACTATCTAAAGATGGATTTCTCCCGTTCGTTCTTTTTAAAATGGTTCTGTCGCTGAGAGTTGTTGCCTTCACTGTGATTTTCTTCTATGGAATAGATTGGAAAAGATGAGAAGAGTAGAGGAGGAGGAAGGAGAGGAGATGAGAAAAGTTTTGTCTTTGAAGTGACTTCTTGATTTGATGCAAATTTGAAATGAATGTTTTCGTCCCGTATCGTCCCTTGAGGTTGATACAGCCCCTTAATTTAGACGCCAGCCTCGGCTTTCGCAGGTCAACTTTCTGAGACGGCTCGGACTTTGCGCAGGCTGTCATCTGAGGGCTGTGATTTAGCGACCGGGGCCGTGGCCAGACTGGCACACATTTTGCTACCTGGTCAAGCCTGATGCCAAGGCGCCGCTTGTGACATCAGCTCTCACGCAATCTCCCCACCTGCGATGAGGTTGACGGTGGATTGGGAGTTTAGGGACATGAATAGTGATCGGTTTATGAAGTTAGATTGATCAGAGGCAATTGATGTCCGTCAAGGACCTTTCTCTGCCTGAGCCTCCGACCCGGCTGACTCTCGAACCGTAAATCGATATACCAGGGCTAAGAATGCGGAGGCATAAGTAACCACAGTCTCGTTCACTGTTCCAACTGATTTGCTTATCTGCTAACTCATTGCTTTCACTATCTACACCACAGACAATTGAACCTCTGTCACTTGGCACAGCTCTCCCAAGTTAACACTTTAATCTTCTCGAAATCAACTCAACTCCCTGCCCGTGTGCGAAGCCTACTCTCTTCGTCGGCCCAGGAGTTGGAATATTGTGAGTGTTTACAATTTTCACGGCCAAATACAGGGGGACGAAGGAGAAGAACCAAACGGAGCAAGGAGAGACGGTGTCAATTTGCATCTAAGTTCCTCCCTATCTCGAATTCAGATTGGGGGTCGGCTTAGATCTAAGCTACCCAGCCGCGCATCGCCAGGTGGTTTCGTTGTGTGTTAGCGGGATCCCGTACACGCTGCTCCTGGTATCACGCATGACATGATGAAGAGGCTCAATCTGGGCTCCATGCAAGTCACGCTTCGATTGGTCTTTGGGTCGGCTGCACTGAAAGCCGGCCTCATGTGAACGAGGGAGTCCCTCCCCGGGTGGTGATCGTTTTGGCGGAGTCATTAGATGGATCTCATGTGTGCTTCGAGGTAGACGACTTTGTTCTCGGTGAGCATAACGGTCTTGAAAGGGGGAGGCAAGCAGCCGCCGAGGAAGTATAGTCCATCAGTGCCAAATGTACCTTAATGTGATGGTAGTAGCGCCACATAATCCTACATAGAGCGTCAATGCTTCCCATCAACAAGATGTTCAATTCGCATGATCGCCTGCCCCTCTGGCTATGTTAGTGATAATAAAAAAACAACGTGTGGCTGTATTTGTTGCCTGCAAAGCTAGGAAGAATTTAAATGACTATTATTAAATGCCCAAGGAACGTAAATCGACAAGAGATTGCAAGAACAGATCCCATGAGGGTTGGAATGCGAATTTTGAAAGGAAAGCCCTACAATGATCGCAGTATTTCTGCATAGTATAATACCGAGGCTCCTGATTCTGTATAGAGTCCATAGATAAGCAAGTCTTGTTGAATGTCCTTGATTCTAGTGTAATTTATTTGAAGATTGGTTGAGATGGGTTGTAGTTCAATGAACATACCGAGAAGCGTACAGGTGAAACTTTGATTAAGACAACAGAGGTTTTACAACATGCAATCTATGATAATCATTGATGTCATTGATTGATGCTTGGAAATCAGGCGAAGTAGGGAACTTAATGGAAGTTAACGGTCTTTCTTACCTGTATGTTCAGCTGTGTGCTTACGATCCCAATGCCGCCTCTTGACTGTGATATGTTATCAGCCAAGGGACAAAGTTGCAGTGATTCATCCTGGAATATGTACCTGAGTGTGACCACCTCCTTCAACATGATTTTTCCCTAAAGAAGAAGTCTCAGGAAGTTCAGAGAATGCAGGTGAAGTCTTCGTTGTGGATATGTTGTTCAAGGGGCATTTCAAGAACTGTTTCGAACTGACAAAACTCTTACATAGGTTAACTAACGGATTTGTTGAAAATGAGTATATAGGTTATGAGATACGCTAAAAGAAGAACACACATGCGATTGAAAACATGGCGGCTGCTTGACGGACGAGCCTGCAACAACATAGATTCACTGTGCCAATTCAGTGAATGGGAGGCAACACCGTATTTATAAATGGGTAGTTGCACAATCAGATATTTGTCCGACTATATATACTGCTTCTTCATTTCGCAGAAAACTTCAACCCTCAAAGCTCAAGCAACCTGACCTACGCGCCCAGAAATCTCTCGATCGATTTACTTCCAACTTCAAAAACCATACCCGATACGGCCCACCTATCCTTCTCAATATGTCCAGCAATGAGGCTTCTGGCAAGTGCGGGGACTGCCAGCACATGCTCAGGGGCTCTGCTCCCATCATCGCTGTTAATCCGACGGAACCATGTTACAGCTGCGCCGTAGATTGTCCGTTTTGTTTCAATTTTGGCCTCAACAGTTGCGTAAAGGAATGCAAGGATGGGAAGGTTGCGTTACCCTTTAACGCAAAGGGCCCTGATTGCCGAGCTTGTCACAACGCTAGGATTATTTATGGAGAGACTGTGTTTCGGGCCTGTCACAACCCTCGACATGGTTTATAAGATCGTCTCAAGCTAATTTCATCAAGAAGTGAGTTGCATTCTTATTCTTCGCGATTCAGAGCTGGAGTCTGAAGCACACCGGCTGATGTGACACACAGATACTATGGGTTATGATATAGGGTTTAAAAGTTTTGAAGAATGTCGGTGTGAGATCTTTCGAAGTTTTTCTCGAACTGAAGATGCAAGAGTGAGCCAAGGCGACACTCCTCTTTTCCTTTGAGAAGAAAAGCCAAAGCTAGTTGAAACTTCCCGGCAGTTTGGACCAACGTTGTGGGGCATCTGTGAATGTGTCTCTCCCAACTCTGAGGCAGTGAGCAAGAAACGTTTCCAGGGTAATACTCAATTAGCTCAAAACAATTGAGGAATCATATGACATCATACCTCTCGGACTCTGTGTTGATTGATGGTGAATCGTGGTCGAGTTTAGAGACCAGCTTGTACCCCTTGACAGAAGGTGCCATGGAGGGTGGTTGGTTTGAAAGTCGACCCTATAACCATACGGTTGCGTATGGTAGCATGAATTGGGATTTCTGGGTATGAAACTGGCGTAAACTAGATATCTGACTAACATATTGGTAGAAAACGTCTTTTTTCCATGAGTGCTAGCTTGTATTTAGTGATATGTAGGAGGGCTGAGGGGTGTCCAGGGTATGGTTAAGAGGGTTAAAAAAATATAGAAATACTCGCAATGTACCACCTTGGCCGCAGATCTTGTTAAACCAGCAGGTTGTTTTCAAAGGTAAGAAAATACCCGAGGTTTCGGGCCCTCCCGCATTTATTTTAGTGAGATGAGACCATTCAGGTCGGCATCTAAGCTACATTTTGTAAAACAACAGAGTTGAATCTCGGTTTCACAAGTAAGATGAAAACACAGAAGCCGCATACCCATGGTAGGGACTGTACCTCACCAAAAGATAATTCTTTAGACCATCCCGTTACATAGAGTATCCTGCGCCGCTCAATAGACCAAATGCCACTGTTTTACCCTGGCAATAATATGCTGATGTAGCAAAAATTCCTGAAGTCGGTGGTGACCCCCTTACGGCCATTGAGAATTGATACGTGCAGCAAATTGTTATGGCAGAGGAATTTAACTTTGTTTACATCTAGTTGCTGAAATCGTTTTATCTTGCCTTCTAGAACCTCGTATCGGAGGGAGGGGTAACGATATCAAGCTTCTTGATCTCACATCAAGTTCTGATGAGAAATTTTGTCGCACTTTGACATCTAGCCACACGCTACATTGTGGACTACTTTCTTGGCTATTTTGCGGTGTGGGATGCCGAGATGTGCGCTCTTTAGCTTGATTTCTGTTGCTGCTGAAAGCTCTTCTGCTCATAATGACCTCGGAGATCTCATTGTGATAGAGCAGGGATTGGGCCCATATTAACACGCAAAGCCCCTAAATCGGAGAATCATACAGGGAGCTGTCACCTTTGTGTTGAATTCGATTGGTCCGCCACTTTGATCAATATGGATCCGGGCAATAATAGCTAGCTCCTCCGGAAAGACCCTGACTTCCAGTTAGGAATTTGAGCTGCGGTTCCTCTGAGACGTGGCTGGCTGAGTTGTCGCTGGGTGTGGATATGTCTTTGCCTTCAGCGGTAGATGTGAGACTTTACTTTCCGCTTCGGACATTTGGCAAGCGGCTGCCCTTAACGCCAACTTGGCATTGTCCATGGATCTTGAGCCACGGGCCGGTGACTGAGATTGAGATCAGCAAATTCGGCACAGTATCCAATAGCTAGGACGCAGTGGGTATGGGAACCTCGACGAAACTGCCGTAGTGATGGAAGGTGAAGGGCGCTATAGTAAGCAAAATTTGGTTCGGATAATTTGAAGATCGATATCCCGAGACACTGGACGTAACCTAGCCCTATGTGGGCGGAGCAGCAGAAGAGCATTGGTAGAATGTGATTCTGTCTCAGGGTCCCTTTTCTCTTTTCTTCTACTTTTCAGTCCCCAATATAGCCATCGAGTTCTCCGCTGTGGTCATCCAGAGCTATGATTAGGTGGTGACCTTGTCAAGCCCCCACCCATTCCTTGGTATGCATGGATGTCTGTTTCACCTCAGTTGGGTACGGACATAACCATCTCAGCCATAGCTAGCAGGCAGAACTGATGGTGTCATCAAGTTGGGCCAAATTCCAATCTCCTGACTTTGCTGGTAGACAACTGGTGGCTGGCTGTCTCAGTCATGTCTTTCATGCAGGCGCCCCGAGCCCCGACCGTCGGGCCCCTCGCGTAATTTTCTCTTACCGTTCTTTCTTTT